ACGTAGCTGTGAGTCCCCCAAAATAGATTTTGAATTACATAATTTGTTGTTAAAACAAAAATTAAAATTGATTTACATTGCTTTCCAGGAAATACATCAAAAACAATGCAACACACATATAACCACAATAAACAGATTAACAAAAATTATTATTATAAAGCTAAATATTTTAATAGTACATGTGAAATGACATCACAATGATGAGTATAAGTGAGAACATTATAGATGACATTAAGATCTTCTCGATAAAAAAGTATTTGACCATTTAGCAGACAAACAACAATAAATAAGTAATTGCTGCTTATTAAGTATTTTATCGGTGTACGACGAGTATCTTCAAGATTTATTACTTTCGTCGCTGGTGTTTCTTTTTTTCTATTTTGTTTTGTTTGTTAGTTTTAAACAATAACAATTGTTTTGTATATTTTATACCAACTATGAAATTTTGCCGGTAACCGGTTTTCTACTGAATTAATTGACCGGTTTTTAAAAAACCACACTCAGACTACTCGTGTCTAGCTGCAGACAAAATTCGTTATAATACAGCTGCCGTTAAACAGTTTAAAGTTCAGTAGGAATCAAATTTAAATGTTTATTTAATTTTGTTATAAAATGATCAGTGATTATTCATTTAAAAATATAATAAAAAATAGAGCAAAGTTCATTTTGTAAACATTAGAATAAAATATATTAAATTAATTAATAGGTTTGTGTTTTTGCCATTTAAATGGAAAATTTTATTTTTGTATTTGTGAGAATACAATTTTTCTAGAAATTTAAAATCTTCAAAATCATTTACATCAGTTTTCTTTGTTTTTCCTCTTAATATTTGAAAAAAAAAAATCTGCATTAAATAAGCTCTTCTAAAGATAACACTTTTCAGAGGAAAGAAAATATACTGGATTTTAGATATGGAATGAAGTTACAACTGAACTAGTACTAAACTAGAACTAGAACTATATAAGAACTGAACTAGAACTGAACTAGAACTGAACTAGAACTGAACTAGAACTGAACTAGAACTGAACTAGAACTGAACTAGAACTGAACTGGAACTGAACTAGAACTGAACTAGAACTGAACTAGAACTGAACTAGAACTGAACTAGAACTGAACTAGAACTGAACTAGAACTGAACTAGAACTGAACTAGAACTGAACTAGAACTGAACTAGAACTGAACTAGAACTGAACTAGAACTGAACTAGAACTGAACTAGAACTGAACTAGAACTGAACTAGAACTGAACTAGAACTGAACTAGAACTGAACTAGAACTGAACTAGAACTGAACTAGAACTGAACTAGAACTGAACTAGAACTGAACTAGAACTGAACTAGAACTGAACTAGAACTGAACTAGAACTGAACTAGAACTGAATAGTACTGAACTAGAACTGAACTAGAACTGAACTAGAACTGAACTAGAACTGAACTAGAACTGAACTAGAACTGAACTAGAACTGAACTAGAACTGAACTAGAACTGAACTAGAACTGAACTAGAACTGAACTAGAACTGAACTAGAACTGAACTAGAACTGAACTAGAACTGAACTAGAACTGAACTAGAACTGAACTAGAACTGAACTAGAACTGAACTAGAACTGAACTAGAACTGAACTAGAACTGAACTAGACTGAACTAGAACTGAACTAGAACTGAACTAGAACTGAACTAGAACTGAACTAGAACTGAACTAGAATGAACTAGAACTGAACTAGAACTGAACTAGAACTGAACTAGAACTGAACTAGAACTGAACTAGAACTGAACTAGAACTGAACTAGAACTGAACTAGAACTGAACTAGAACTGAACTAGAACTGAACTAGAACTGAACTAGAACTGAACTAGAACTGAACTAGAACTGAACTAGAACTGAACTAGAACTGAACTAGAACTGAACTAGAACTGAACTAGAACTGAACTAGAACTGAACTAGAACTGAACTAGAACTGAACTAGAACTGAACTAGAGACTGAACTAGAACTGAACTAGAACTGAACTAGAACTGAACTAGAACTGAACTAGAACTGAACTAGAACTGAACTAGAACTGAACTAGAACTGAACTAGAACTGAACTAGAACTGAACTAGAACTGAACTAGAACTGAACTAGAACTGAACTAGAACTGAACTAGAACTGAACTAGAACTGAACTAGAACTGAACTAGAACTGAACTAGAACTGAACTAGAACTGAACTAGAACTGAACTAGAACTGAACTAGAACTGAACTAGAACTGAACTAGAACTGAACTAGAACTGAACTAGAACTGAACTAGAACTGAACTAGAACTGAACTAGAACTGAACTAGAACTGAACTAGAACTGAACTAGAACTGAACTAGAACTGAACTAGAACTGAACTAGAACTGAACTAGAACTGAACTAGAACTGAACTAGAACTGAACTAGAACTGAACTAGAACTGAACTAGAACTGAACTAGAACTGAACTAGAACTGAACTAGAACTGAACTAGAACTGAACTAAACTAGAACTGAACTAGAACTGAACTAGAACTGAACTAGAACTGAACTAGAACTGAACTAGAACTGAACTAGAACTGAACTAGAACTTAACTAGAACTGAACTAGAACTGAACTAGAGAACTGAACAAAATCAAGAGGTTGCAAATTCAACAATACTTTTTAACATTCCTCCTCCTTAAACTTTGTTGAAAAACTGAAACAAAAACTCATCATCATTTTCGTTAAGTTTATGTAGCAAAATTGTTAAGTTTAAAGAAAATAATAATGGTATAAAAATAACAGCTGAAAAGCTACAACTGCTACTACAACAACTCCAAATAAAGAAAAACAAAAAACTTTACGAATCCTATTATTTCTACATAGTTGTAATCTTATTATCCGCGAGTTGACAGCAAAATGACATTTAGGGAAAATGCACAACCAAATGCTAAAGCAACGAGGTAAAAAAATAAACAGAAAACAAAAACCCATCTTTCGAACCAAGACCAAAACGAAATGAAATGAAAACAACTTTCAAATCGAAGAAAAAATACATTTATTTGTAGAATCTATAAGGAAGAGTAGACAAGGGTGTTGGTATGTTAAGAGCGAAAGAAGAAATCTAAAAATGTATTCTCTGTTTATATGATTTTAATGAAGTTTATTAAAAAAATACAAAAACAACAATACGATATGTTAAGGATGAAAGAAAGAAAGAAAGTGAAAAGGAATTAATATCTATCAAATGTTAAACCATGAAAAACATAAGTTATAATTAAAAAGTTTGATTTGAATTCATTTTTTGTGGATAAGGATTTGGAAAGTAATAGCAACAGATTTAAAATAACATGACAGTTGTGGGTAATAAAAACTTAAGAAATTTAAACATTGTTTTGTCAAATTCTCCCTTTCGAAAAAACGTTGATAAATTTAGCCTAAAGAAAAATTAAAACTATGAAAGTACTGACACAGAACTAGAACATAACTAAAACAGAACTAGAACAGGACTAGAACAGGACTAGAACAGAACTAGAACAGAACTAGAACAGAACTAGAACAGAACTAGAACAGAACTAGAACAGAACTAGAACAGAACTAGAACAGAACTAGAACAGAACTAGAACAGAACTAGAACAGAACTAGAACAGAACTAGAACAGAACTAGAACAGAACTAGAACAGAACTAGAACAGAACTAGAACAGAACTAGAACAGTACTAGAACAGAACTAGAACAGAACTAGAACAGAACTAGAACAGAACTAGAACAGAACTAGAACAGAACTGGAACAGAACTAGAACAGAACTAGAACAGAACTAGACCAGAACTAGAACAGAACTAGAACAGAACTAGAACGGAACTAGAACGGAACTAGAACATAACTAGAACAGAACTAGAACAGAACTAGAACAGAACTAGAACAGAACTAGAACAGAACTAGAACAGAACTAGAACAGAACTAGAACAGAACTAGCACAGAACTAGAACAGAACTAGAACAAAACTAGAACAGAACTAGAACAGAACTAGAACAGAACTAGAACAGAACTAGAACAGAACTAGAACAGAACTAGAACAGAACTAGAACAGAACTAGAACAGAACTAGAACAGAACTAGAACAGAACTAGAACAGAACTAGAACAGAACTAGAACAGAAACTAGAACAGAACTAGAACAGAACTAGAACAGAACTAGAACAGAACTAGAACAGAACTAGACAGAACTAGAACAGACTAGAACAGAACTAGAACAGAACTAGAACAGAACTAGAACAGAACTAGAACAGAACTAGAACAGAACTAGAACAGAACTAGAACAGAACTAGAACAGAACTAGAACAGAACTAGAACAGAACTAGAACAGAACTAGAACAGAACTAGAACAGAACTAGAACAGAACTAGAACAGAACTAGAACAGAACTAGAACAGAACTAGAACAGAACTAGAACAGAACTAGAACAGAACTGAACAGAACTAGAACAGAACTAGAACAGAACTAGAACAGAACTAGAACCAGACTAGAACAGCACTAGAACAGAACAGACTAGAACAGAACTAGAACAGAACTAGAACAGAACTAGAACAGAACTAGAACAGAACTAGAACAGAACTAGAACAGAACTAGAACAGAACTAGAACAGAACTAGAACAGAACTAGAACAGAACTAGAACAGACTAGAACAGAACTAGAACAGAACTAGAACAGAACTAGAACAGAACTAGAACAGAACTAGAACAGAACTAGAACAGAACTAGAACAGAACTAGAACAGAACTAGAACAGAACTAGAACAGAACTAGAACAGAACTAGAACAGAACTAGAACAGAACTAGAACAGAACTAGAACAGAACTAGAACAGAACTAGAACAGATCAAAAAAAGAACAGAACGTTTTCTTCTGTCTTAAGAGTGAATTTACTCTTAAATTTGTATAAAGTAGTAGGATTTTCTATTGATTCTCTAACCAAGAAGATTTTTTTTTATAATTTTTTGTTTGTGAAAAATGTTTGTTAAATCAATTAAAAACTTAGTTTTACTTTTTTTCAACATTTATTTTAACATATTTAATACTTTTTTCGAATCACCGGTGTTTTACAATTTAGTGACCTAATTCAGCTTTAGCTTTTTCAACACATTCGAAGATTTTGTAACCGGTTTCACAACGATCGGCGCCCTTTTCATTTTTGCATTTCTCCAAAACCTTCTTGACATTTTCTTCACCGTAGTGGGGTACCAATTTGGCCATAACAACATCTTCTTGGACAGCATCACCCTTCAAGATGCCGACTTCTTCAAGGAAGCAAGCACCGAAACATTTCATGGCTGGTGTAGGATTAGCGAATTCCTTGTTTTTCAATTTAGTGGCATCAGCTTCGGGGACATTCTCTTGTTTAACACATTTTGCGTAGTGAGCCTTGATTTTGGCTTTTTCTTCTTCGGACAATTCGTGGTGCTGGAGGAATTGGATATAATAAAATAGATGTTTGATCCTGATTCCTGGGTGGATTTGTTACTTACCGCAAAGGCAGAGGCAATTAAGCAAACAACAGCTAAAGTGATGAAGACCTTCATTTTAAATGTTTAGTTTTTTTTTTTTGTTGGTTTCAGATAAGAGTCCAATAATGACTGTGATGATTGCAAACTCAAACCGGGGTTTTTATAACAAATTGTGTTTTTCTCTAGAAATTTTTAAATCTTGTTTTGTTTGTATGTTTTTTTATATTTTAAACAATTTAAATATATGCATTTTTATATAGCTTATTTTTTAATTATTTATAATTTGTTTTGGTTTTTTTATTATTGCTATTTATTATATTTTTTTGTTTGGGTAATAGTTTCATGAAATTATAGAAAACCTCAATATGAGCTGACTTGTACCCTCAAGTTTTAAATTTATGATGATAAGGAAAGTTTTTTTTAAATATTTTTTTAGTATTTTTTTTAATAACAAACAACAAAATTTATTTAAATCTAGAATACTAGAGGTGGGTTCTATTATTAGTTTTGGTGACTTAAATCAAATTAATGTTGATAATAAAAAAATATTTTTTATAGTAATTTTATAGTGTTTGTCATATTTTGATTAAAATCAAATTGTAAGTTAATGAATATTAATGATTTATTTGTTGGAGGCCTGGATTTGTGTAACAACGATAAATATATAGATTTAATTATATGGTCTAGTGCAAGTGTATCAGTGAGATTTTTATAATTTGGTTGCAAATTTTTGATAATTAGTTTTTGTTTTATTTGTTTTAGACTAATTGATCACTGTTTAAGTTTGCCAATTTATATATAATTAAAATTTGCTCAAATATTCTACATATGAGCCTCTAAAAACGGGCAAGTCTGTGCTTAAGTTGTCATTTTATACAGAAATAATATCAAAAAAAAGAAAACTGTCTTAAGTATTTCAATTGAATTTGTAATAAAGCTTTACATTCAAATTTGCGTTTGATTTTTTCATATAAATAGTTCTCTGCTTTCTCCAAACTCCAATTTTACATACAAATATACATACATTAACTAATACTTACATCAACTAATGCCCCTTTAAGTTTACAATGCATTAAATTTGGCTACAAAGCTAAATATTAAATTTAAATTGAAAAATAAATTGAAGAAAAAACGAAAGGATAACTCGTTTGTTGCAAACATTTATTGTGGATCTTAACGAGTATTTGATGATGCCGCGAGGAATTAAATATTAAAATATATGCAAAATTCGTATCCTTACACATGCTTATATACAGATACGGCAAACTATTGTTGACACACATTAACATACTTACTATCATACTTATTTTTAAACATACACATGTTGCCAGTACTCTTAATGTTTGTCTGAATACATTGGCTTTGCTCGAAAATTAAAAAATAAAAATAAATACAATACAATTTTCCATAACATTAAGGTCTTAGACCCTACTAAAATAGAGACAGACATTGTGCGACTTAAAGGCACCAACTATGTATAAACAGAACTAAAACTGAATTACAACTGAACTAGAACTGAACTAGAACTGAATTAGAACTGAATTAGAACTGAACTAGAACTGAACTAGAACTGAACTAGAACTGAACTAGAACTGAACTAGAACTGAACTAGAACTGAACTAGAACTGAACTAGAACTGAACTAGAACTGAACTAGAACTGAACTAGAACTGAACTAGAACTGAACTAGAACTGAACTAGAACTGAACTAGAACTGAACTAGAACTGAACTAGAACTGAACTAGAACTGAACTAGAACTGAACTAGAACTGAACTAGAACTGAACTAGAACTGAACTAGAACTGAACTAGAACTGAACTAGAACTGAACTAGAACTGAACTAGAACTGAACTAGAACTGAACTAGAACTGAACTAGAACTGAACTAGAACTGAACTAGAACTGAACTAGAACTGAACTAGAACTGAACTAGAACTGAACTAGAACTGAACTAGAACTGAACTAGAACTGAACTAGAACTGAACTAGAACTGAACTAGAACTGAACTAGAACTGAACTAGAACTGAACTAGAACGAACTAGAACTGAACTAGAACTGAACTAGAATTGAACTAGAACTGAACTAGAACTGAACTAGAACTGAACTAGAACTGAACTAGAACTGAACTAGAACTGAACTAGAACTGAACTAGAACTGAACTAGAACTGAACTAGAACTGAACTAGAACTGAACTAGAACTGAACTAGAACTGAACTAGAACTGAACTAGAACTGAACTAGAACTGAAGACTGAACTGACTACTAGAACTGAACTAGAACTGAACTAGAACTGAACTAGACTGACTGAACTATAGAACTGAACTAGAACTGAACTGGAACTGAACTTAGAAACTGACTAAACTGAACTAGAACTGAACTAAACTGAACTAGAACTGAAACTAGAACTGAACTAGAACTGAACTAGAACTGAACTAGAACTGAACTAGAACTGAACTAGAACTGAACTAGAACTGACTAGAACTGAACTAGAAACTGAACTAGAACTGAACTAGAACTGAACTAGAACGACTAGAACTGAACTAGAACTGAACTAGAACTGAAATAGAACAGAACTAGAACTGAACTAGAACTGAACTACAACTGAACTAGAATTGGATTAGAACTGAACTAGAATTGAATTAGAACTGAATTAGAACAGAACTAGAACTAAAGAGAAACTGAACTAGAATTAAATAAAAGCAGAACTAGATTTGAGCGAGAACTAAACTAGAACTGAACTTGATTTGTGCGAGAACTGAACAAGGACATTTATAGTTGGTCACGTTTTATCGCCCTAATGTAACGAAGTGTAAGTCCTCCATCGGTGGCTTTATTCTATCTAAACCATGATGGTGTTTTATGTAAGCATTTGTTTGGGAATATATTAAACAAAATAATAATAATACAATAGAAATGATTAAGTTTTCCGCATGCGAGCACAAATTACACAAGGACACCAACATGCATACATATGTACGTATACTTGCAACAAAAAGAAACATACTTAGAAACATACCTTAAAATGAAGTTGAAAATAAACAAAGACGAAAAAAAAAAAATAATATTAAAACAGGACACTGCTTTGAACGCCCTTCTCTTTTTTTGTATACCATTTCAATAGGAGCATAATTTCCAGACTGTAGGTTATTTTAATACAATGTTGGTTATTATACTTTAGAAGATAAAAACTAACAAAAAATAAATAAATACATACAGAGAGGAACGTGCAACAAAAAAAAATCCATTTATGTTTAATACCACTACACAGCCACTCAAGCGTTACTTAGCAGCAGCTCTGCTTAAAAACGCTATGTATCTTTTTTTAATTTTTTGGAAACACTTCACTGAGACTGCTGGTTTTCACAGGGTGTTGGTATGTTTTACTAGGATATTAAAAAGTTGGCTAAAGCTGTATACTCTAGCTGAGATTTTTACACAAGAACAAAAAAATTTACACAAGATAATACAAAATGCGAAGTAGTAAAGAAGAAAACTGTTGCATATTTAAAATTGTTAGCAAAAAAAAAAGGACACTCGTTCAATGTCACACAGAGTAAAAGCATGTGTAACCAGCCACTTTTTCAGTTTTTTTTTTTTCTTTGGCAACATTATAACAACACTTTCCAACATTTTTTTGCTACAATTGTAGCTGCAATATTATAAGACTTTTTTCAGATCTTTTCTTCTTGTTGCATAGTGGATGTATAAGTATAATGCAACAATATGCTAAATTTGTTTAACAATCCAATTTTTTTCCTGATGCTGTTGTTGCTGCCTGGCTGTTGTTTTTCCTTTTCCTGGTATCTTTTTCTCTCTGTTGGATAATACGTTGCAAGAACAATACTACAACACAGCACGTTTTAGCAACAACTTCCTAAAGCTACTTTAGTCATTTAAACATATGGTGCCGTAGTAAAAGACATAATTGCGTGAAATTCTATAAAAAAGATGAAGGCTGAAGAAAAAACTAGGCTAGCAGGAGTGTAAACGAATTCAAAATACGCTGCTTAAACCATTAAAGAACTATAACAGAACTAGAACAGAACTAGAACAGAACTAGAACAGAACTAGAACAGAACTAGAAGAACTAGAACAGAACTAGAACAGAACTAGAACAGAACTAGAACAGAACTAGAACAGAACTAGAACAGAACTAGAACAGAACTAGAACAGAACTAGAACAGAACTAGAACAGAACTAGAACAGAACTAGAACAGAACTAGAACAGAACTAGAACAGAACTAGAACAGAACTAGAACAGAACTAGAACAGAACTAGAACAGAACTAGAACAGAACTAGAACAGAACTAGAACAGAACTAGAACAGAACTAGAACAGACAGAACTAGAACAGAACTAGAACAGAACTAGAACAGAACTAGAACAGAACTAGAACAGAACTAGAACAGAACTAGAACAGAACTAGAACAGAACTAGAACAGAACTAGAACAGAACTAGAACAGAACTAGAACAGAACTAGAACAGAACTAGAACAGAACTAGAACAGAACTAGAACAGAACTAGAACAGAACTAGAACAGAACTAGAACAGAACTAGAACATAACTAGAACATAACTAGAACATAACTAGAACAGAACTAGAACAGAACTAGAAACAGAACTAGAACAGAACTAGAACAGAACTAGAACAGAACTAGAACAGAACTAGAACAGAACTAGAACAGAACTAGAACAGAACTAGAACAGAACTAGAACAGAACTAGAACAGAACTAGAACAGAACTAGAACAGAACTAGAACAGAACTAGAACAGAACTAGAACAGAACTAGAACAGAACTAGAACAGAACTAGAACAGAACTAGAACAGAACTAGAACAGAACTAGAACAGAACTAGAACAGAACTAGAACAGAACTAGAACAGAACTAGAACAGAACTAGAACAGAACTAGAACAGAACTAGAACAGAACTAGAACAGAACTAGATCAGAACTAGAACAGAACTAGAACAGAACTAGAACAGAACTAGAACAGAACTAGAACAGAACTAGAACAGAACTAGAACAGAACTAGAACAGAACTAGAACAGAACTAGAACAGAACTAGAGCAGAACTAGAACAGAACTAGAACAGAACTAGAACAGAACTAGAACAGAACTAGAACAGAACTAGAACAGAACTAGAACAGAACTAGAACAGAACTAGAACAGAACTAGAACAGAACTAGAACAGAACTAGAACAGAACTAAATTAAACAAACTCCTAGTCCATGTAGGGTACATATCATTCTCTGTTTTTTCCTTAACACTCGTTGTCGCTATTTTTTGCTATAAAAACAGTATTATTTTGATGTGCA